CTTGACCAGGTTGGAGCTGACGCAGAAGCTCTTGCCGCAAGCGCCGCAGCGGAAGGGTCGTTCACCCGTGTGGGTCCTCTGGTGCTCGATGAGGGTGGAGCTCTGCCCGAAGGCCTTCCCGCACTCCCCGCACCGGTAGGGCCGCTCACCGGTGTGGGTCCGTTGGTGGGACGCCAAGTGGGTCTTCTTCTTGAAGCGCTTCCCGCATTGCCCACAGGAGAAGGGCTTCTCCCCCGTGTGGGTCCTCTCGTGCTTGACCAGGTTGGAGCTGAGGCTGAAGGTCTTCCCGCAGCGTCCACAGCCATAGGGTTTCTCCCCGGTGTGGGTCCGGAGATGCTTGACCAGGTTGGAGGTCCGTCCGAAGGTCTTCCCGCACTCGGGGCAGGCGTAGGGCGTCTCGCCGGTGTGGGTGCGGCGATGCTCGGTCAAGGTGGAGCTGCGGCTGAAGGCGCGGGCGCATACCGGGCAGGCGTAGGGCTTCTCGCCGGTGTGGGTCCGGAGGTGCTCGGCCAAGGTGGAGCTCCGGCTGAAGCTCTTCTCGCATTGGCCGCAGGTGAAGGGTCGCTCGCCCGTGTGGGTCCGCTGGTGCTCAATCAGGTTGGAGCTCTGCCCGAAGGTCTTCCCGCACTCGGTGCAGCGGTAGGGCTTCGGCGTTGACCTGCCGCCCTCCAGGAGACCCAGCAGGTTGATGAAGCCACGTGGGCGACCACCACTGCGGGCCGGCACCGCGGCACCTGGGAGAGGAACATCTGTTGGGTCATTGTGCAACCACAGAGGGATGTTCCCTGAAGGAGAACATCTCCTGGTGGGTCATTGTGCAACCATGGAGAGTTATTCCACGCAGGAGAACATCTCCCAGATGGTGTTTTCTCCACCATGGAAGAGAATTCCCAGCAGAAGACCATCTCCTGGCCCCACATTTTCCCCATTTTCTTGGGTTTTTCCCCCAAAAGACCATCTCCCGGGTGCTCTTTGGGCCACCCACTGGGCTCGTCCCCATGTCCCCCCCTCACCTGCACAGGGCTCTGTGGGGACGTCCCCGTCACCCCGGTCCTGGGGAGGACGCGGCTCCTCCCCCGGCTCCATCGTGGCGGCTGCGGGCAGCAGGCAGAAATGGGGGGAAAAAAGGCAATAAATGAAAAAAACCCGGTGTTTGCCCCATGCTTTTCACCAAAATCAGACATTTTCCCCCCAAAATACACCCCCTCCCATCTTAGTTAATCTGGCAACCCCCACAGCTGCGAGCAAGCGGCCCAATTTCCCCCTTTTTCACCCTAAAATACCGCCCCATTAGGTAATCCTGCACCCCGATTCCTGGCATCAATCAGCCCATTCTCCCCCTTTTTCACCCCAAAATGTTATCCCCACCATTAGTTAATTTTGCACCTCCATGCCTGAGAGTAATCGGCCCATTTTTCCCCTTTTTTCCCCCCAAAACACAATTCCCACAGTGAGTTAATTTTGCACCCCCGGACCTGAGAGCACCCAGCCCATTTTCTCCCCTTCTCACCCCAAAACACAAATCCCACAATTAGTTAATCCTGCA